TTGCCAGGCAGGTGCTGTGCCACTGAGCTAAATCCCCAGAACCTCGAGAGGCGCTGTTGCGGAGCTACTAAGACTGTATTGTCCAGGCAGGATGCTTTTCTCAAGACTGAGGTAGCTTGGGGCTGGGGATTTAGCTCAGCGGCAAAGCACCTGCCTGGCAAGCGCAAGGTCGTGAGTTCGGTTCCTGGTACCGGAGAAAAACCACACACACAAAAAAAAGACTGAGGTAGCTTGACTGCTTGAGGCACTCTGGCTCTGTCCTGCCCTCACACTTACAACCAATTCCCAGTTCCCGCGGTTCCCAACAAGGAAGTGTGCCACTCCTGGGTCTCTAGTTAGGCTACTGTGGCTGCCTTCAAGGCTGAATGGATTAAAAATGTTACCCTTTCAAGGTCATTTTGCCTTGGGTGTCAGATCTGGTGAATGAGGTGGGTGGGGACACAGTGTCCTGTTTTGACGAGCCTGCCTGCCCATTGGATGGCTTTCGGCAGCAGCATTCAGCACGCCTCATAAAAACGCTCATGAAGACTTCAAGAATTGTTTTGAAATCTGGGATGGATGTGTTTGAAACAAGGGGGATAACTGGCAGTGTGTTTTGCTGTAATGCATATTTTATTTAAACATTCACCCATGTACATGTGCCCCTCGACTGGACTTGTCACCTGCCTCGCTTGTCCTCCAGGACAGACTGGGAAGGTCTGCACTGGGGTCCCTCCCCCCAAATGCGATTGTAAGCCGGCGGCCCGTTCCCTACAGCCCCTGCGCTGTGTGCTTCTGCTTCTACGATACCTGTGTCTCCCTGGTGTGTACTGACAGGTTCCCCCAGGTGACTGAACAGGCTCAGCACTGACCCAGTGTAATGCCCACAGAGCCAGCACATACTGCCCACTGTGTTGAAAGTCTGGAGGCTGGGCGAGGTGGCGCACACCTGTAATCCCAGCACTCGGGAGGCTGAAGCAGGAGGATCATTGTGAGTTTGAGGCCAGCTTGGGCTACAGAGTGAGCTCAAGGCCAGCCTGAACTGCATAGGGAGACCCTATCTCAAAAAAAAAAAAAAAAAAAAGACAGTCTAGCGTGTTATAGGACGTGCTTCTTTCTGCCCCCTCTGACACACCACCCAGACTCCTGACCTTGGTGAGTGTCACTGTCAGTAAGAACCCAGGCCTTCCTGGATCTTATCACTGGCAGCTGTTGGCATAGCTGCTCCTGCGGAGTCCTTGGATTCCTTCCGTGATTCAGATTAGACCACTAGATGCATGTAGCACGTTGAGTAGCTTTAGTTGCCTTCTTCTTTAGAAGACTGCAGTTTGACGGTTACTTGAGAGTGACAGAATTGTCACCTCCTGTTACATGTGCCATGTAGGACCGTGTGTTAATTTGCACTGGTACTGTACTGATACTAATTTATTACTTTGCTTATTTAATATGAGTTTGCTGCTTTTGAATCTTTGAAGGATTAAAAAATGTTTTATTTCTTGATCGCTATAAGAAACATTAGTGATTTTATTTTAGTCTTTTTTTTTTTTTTTTTTTTGTCTTTTTGAGACAGGGTCTCGCTATGCAGTTCAGGCTGGCCTTGAGCTCACTTTGTAGCCCAGGCTGGTCTCGA